TATTCACAAGGAGCCTATTGGAACTGGAGTACTCTCAACTGAAGAACAGTATTGTAGGTGATAAAGTGGTATTGAGAACTACCCAATTTACTTCAGTGAATTCAATCTTTCTTAGGAAGCAAGTGGTACATGATACATTTACCTAAACTTTTGGAGTGATAAGGAAAATGTTTGGCATGCATTCAGGCCCAGAGAAACTTTAAAGATTTATCTCAGCAAAATACTGTTCAGAAAAAGGATCTATTTACTTATAGGATACAAGGGTATTTCCAGTTCTTTGATTCCGGGGGTTTGCAGACTTGTTACCAATGAGAAATATAAGCAGTGTTCAAGTCAAAGGGTTTTTTTCTCTTGCTCCTTTTGCCTGTGTGGAAGAGTCGTGCATCTATTGGGGTACGTTGAACAGGCAGCTCTGTGGCCTACTGCTGAAACTTTTACTGGAATATTATACAAAACACAGACTGGCCGAAGCAGATACCACATGCTAGAAGAATTCTGGGTAGTACAGCATTAACAATAATCCCTTTCCCATGGTAATGGGTGTGGTGGTGCACAGTTTGATTTGCTACATTAGACTTGTTAAATTATGTTTTCATTGTGGCCACAGCCTTATGTTGTCTACTGAGTGAGCCTGCTCAGGGGTCACACGTAAAATCTGTTGCTGATATTTATTGAGTGTGTGTAGTGGTTGGGGGACCAGATAAAGTTAGAGAAATAACCTCTCTTAGTTCTGGTTTTTATTAGATTTCCCTAAAAGTTCCATGTTTGTTATATTATGTTCCATGTATGCCTGAATATATGGCACAGTCACATAAAAAGCGATCCCCCATTTTCCCAATGAGAATACAACCCTTTTAAGGAGATAGGTGAAATAGCCAAATGTCTATTTAAGTTAGATTAACTTTTTAAGATATACATTTTGTAATCACATGCAAACTTTATTTGAGAAATGTTGATCTTTTCCATGCTCACATTTTACAGGTTGGTTTTATTCAAACTTATTGCGTGGGTTGTTGATATGAATGCCTTTCTATCATGGGAGCAGTATTTTTTAGTGTTTCAAACTGATTTCCTGAGCACATCACCCCGGCTTCCATCCATATTGCTTGAGAGACTGAAGGTGCAAGGTACTGTCACTAGAAGTTTTATCCTGAGACATCCTTTGCATAATGTTAGGACCTTAGGGTTTTTTGGTTTGTTTCTATTTTGTTTTGTCTTGTGGTAATGCAGGCAGAAGCCTGTAACTTTGACTTTATTGTATTGCTTTTACAATGCTTTTTTTTTTTTTTTAATTGAGACAGAGTTTCACTAGTCGCCAGGCTGAAGTGCAATGGCGCTATCTCAGCTCACTGCAACCTCTGCCTCCCAGGTTCAAGTGATTCTGCTGCCTCAGCCTCCTGAATAGCTGGGATTACAGGCGCCTGCAACCACACCCAACTGATTTTCATATTTTTAGTAGAGATGGGGTTTCACCATGTTGGCCAGGCTGGTCTTAAACTCCTGACCTCAGGTGATCTGCTTGCCTTGGCCTCCCAAAGTGCTGGAATTACAGGCGTGAGGCACTGCACCCTGCCTACAATGCTCTTTAAGTGGATAGCCAATACTTACAATTGTGGGAACCAGCCCTAGGGATCCTAACTCTTTCTCTGGTTCTTTTATTACTAATTCTTCATCATTTGTGTTGGAATAGGCTGAACCCCTCTATCTTGGTAACCGAATACAGCAGCATTTACTTCCTTTTCATACAGAGCCGTTACAGATCCTGATGGCTCTCTAGAGCGATAGCTTTACTGGGTGACTCTGACCCAGTGTGACAGGCACTGTCAGCTGAAGCTGCACCGTCCAGAATACCTGGCCTTCCTGGTTGGCACATGAGGGTGATAACCCTGGGTGGTCTCAAGCAGGCAGTTAAAATCTTTGAAGCGGCACATACTGCTTTTGCTGTTCACTCATTGATCAGAATACATCAGCGGAAATGGCGGGGAGGCGTAATGTGCTCCTCCCATGTGCCAGATGGGAGAAAACTCCTTGTAGGGCAAACACCACAAGGCTGCACAACCCCCAGCACTTGCACTGGTCGAAGGTTGTTCCAGGATGATGTGCACCTTATGGCAACAGTAGAGAGCAGCTCCATGATGAGAGAAGCTTTTTAGTGTTGAGGACTACACTGGAGAGAATACTCTCACCTAATATATCTCATACGTGGTACTGAATGAAGAAAAGGAGAAGCGGAAATAACACTGAAATTTAATTGGGCTCCTTTATGGATTAAATTCAGGAAGAAATCTTGAGAATTTCCCCCTAAACAAAAATATATTTACTCCATTCCCTAATATAAGTAGCTACTATTAACATTCATATGACACATGTGAGTAGTTTAAAAACCCAACTGCCTGTCAATTCCCTTAAAGCTTGTCAATAGTTATGTGGTAGATAGCATTTATAGGGTGACAGTGTATGTTTCTAACCTACCAGCCAAGCAAGTCATAAATAAGTATTGGCCGTCCCTCAAACAGCCCTGTTTCACCCCCTTGTAGACTGTAAACTACATTTAAAAAGTAAAGTCTAAAGCTTTACATAGGTCACATTCTGGCTCCGCCATTTCAGACAGACCACATCATTGAACGGTGACAGACCCTGTGCTGGCTTTCCCAGCTCTGTGCCCTTAATATTTCCTTAAGATGAAATCGGTCCTATTCCCACCCCTACCCAGCTTCCTCTGCAGCTAACATCTTTACCTGGAGGAAAGCATTTAGTCTTCCCAGGTCCAAATTATATGCTTCAGTTTTCACAGAGTCATCTTTGTCTCCTCTCTGCTGTCCTGAAGCAGCGCCTTTTCTTCATGCTGGTAGGCTCAACCACTTCTTATCTCTGACCTCATCTACCTCAACAGCTCTGGACCAGCCTCCATCTTCTTCTGCTCTGATGCCCTCCTGCCTGCTCTTCTGCCTCCACCCCGCCTGCTCCACAGCCTATTCTTAACTTGCAGCAAGAATCCCTCTTCAAAATAGCCGTCAGATCAGGTCTTTCTCCCGCTTCATATCATCTAGTGGCTCACCCTTTCATTCAGAGGAAAAGCCACCTTTCTTACAGTGGGCGGATTATTTTTCTGTTGATGCCATAAGAAATTACCACAAACTCAGTGACTTCATATGAATTTATTTTCTTACGTTTCTGGAGTCTTGCTGGGCTAATGCGCTCCTCCGATGTGCCAGGTGGGAGAAAACTCCTTGTCGGGCAAACACGACAAGGCTGCACAACACCCAGCACTTGCACTGGTCGAAAGTTGTTCCAGGCTGATGTGGAGCTTAACAAGGGCTTAACAAGACTGAGTTCCTTCTAGAGGCTCTGGCAGAGAATCTGGCTTTTTGCAGTGTGTAGAGGCTGCCTGCGTTCCTTGGCTCCTGGTCCACTTCAAAGCTGGCAATGGCCAGTCCGGTCTTTATTGTGCTAAGGCATTTCGACATTGACTCCCTTTCCTCCCTCTTCACCTTTATAAGGGACCTTGTGATTACATTGGACTGAGCCAGACAGATAATCTAGGACAGTCTTCCTCTGCTAAGGTCAGCTGCTAAGCAACCTTATTTCTTCTACTTGCAATCTTAATTTCTCCATAATAGGTTCACAGGTTCCAGCGATTAGGAGATGGACTTTTTTGAGGGGAGGGAGGGTAGTTATTCTGCCTAGCAGGTTACAAGGCCTTCACAGTCTAGCCTGTTACTTCTCTGACCTTGTGCCCTACTACTTTTTCTTACAAAGTAGGGCTTTCCCCTGATGGTGTCACCACCTCAGAGACCCATGGAGCTAATTATCTCGTGCCCTTTAAGCCTTTGCTCAGAAGTCACCTTCTCAATAAGCTCTGTTCTGACCACTGTACTCAATTGTAGCCCACCGTCTGCTTTGTGTTTTTCCATAGCACGTATCCATGTCTAACATAGGAAACAGTTGATTTTTATGTTTGTTGTCTGTAACACAAGCTCTTGGGGAGCTCAGATTTCTGTCTGTTTTTCCTCTGTTGTATCCCCAGCACCTTGAATAGTGTCTGGTGCATAGTAGGCAAGCAATAAATATTTGTGGAATAGTGGATGGATTCTTGAGAGAATTGCAAAGTGTTTTTTAATAAACATAATTTTTTTGTATGCATCAGATATTCCCCATAGCCTCCATGAGGGGCATGATATAGCTGTTTTGGGGTCTTCCAAAGTATTTAGTTTGGGAACTGGTTTGTTGTAGACATTCAGAATACACCAAAAAGAATTATAAAGCGGGGTCTGGGGCAAGGAGGCATGAAGACTTTTTCATTTTATCAGTCTAGACTGGATTCCAGAAACAGAGTTAAGGAGAGTTCAAGGCAGTTTCATAATCAATGTAATTCAGGATCCAGGCTAGTTTGACAAGGCAATGGAAGAGTGCCTGCATTCTTATTCAGAGTTGGGGTATCACTATATTGCTTCTTGAAATTACCCCCTCCAGGTCTTTAGCCCTGACGGCTCTTTGTTCTTGTCTCATGGAGGAAACTAGGGAAGAGAATATCTAATCACTCAGTGTATTGTGGGTGCAGATGATGAGAAATATCCTGTATATTCTAGCCTGTGCTCCTGCTTCCGCAAGAATTTTTCTCCCTCTGAGTAAATGATTTGAAGAGTGAGGATTTAGAAGACCAGGTGTTTTTTTTTTAAGAAAAATAAGGTTTTGTTATAAAAATAAATGAAATCTATATTTTATCATTTCAATTCAGGCCCTAACCATACACAGTAGTTACCTTTCATAAAACGTTCTTGCAATAATGCTATTGCACTGGGCTTTGTAATGAAGCTTTGATTTGCATCACTATTCTGAGAACTTTCTGACAATGGTAAGGTAATATTAGGAAGGCAGAGGAAATGAAATGAAATGATGGTAATGCATGTCCATTGTGAAAAATGTTAAGTTGCCAAGGCAATGTCATATCAATAATATTTTCATAAATTAAGATACATGGGGCAAATAAATATTGCATTTCTCTTTATTATCACTTCAAATATGTGAGGGTAACTATTAGGATTAAAACCAGAAATTAGACATAAAGCATCTCAGCTGAAATGAGAGATGTGCTATTCATCGGTTCAACCTGATGTGCTCTCAGGATTCTTGTCACGTTTATTTCAGGCTTTCAATTTCTCCCCCTCAGTATACTCTAGCAGTCTCTCTGCTGTCTTCTTCTCTCATACTCTGTTTCTTGAGGCAGAATTTCCTTTGAGAATTAGTAGGAGAATCAGTATAATTCCATTAAGCATCACTTTCATACTGCACAACCAACCTTCTAGTTTTAAATTCTGTTCTTTTAAATTGAGCTGGTTTTCCTTTCTATCTTTTTCTCTCTCTTGCTTCCTCCCTGTCTCATCCCCTCCCTTCCTAATTCACCACCTCACTCCCTTGCCCTGTCTTCCTCCCCTTTGCTCTCTCTTCTCCTCTGTAGTACACACACACACATATACACACAGAAAGTATGCACACATATACACAAAAAGTATACACACACATATATACAGCAAGAGAAAATAATGTAAGCACAAAGTATGGAGTTAATTCAAAGTTTGTTATACTGGGAAAGTGAGGATGAAGAAAGCTGAAGGTGGTTGGTAGGAAAGAGTTTGAGTCCTCATTTTCCATTACTAGGAAGAAAAAATATAATGTCCCAAACTGAGAAATAAGTATAAAAAGGGCACAAGCTTTCTATTTAAAAATAGAGAGGTCAGCACCAGAAGAAATAACCAAAAGAATTGAGAATAATTGTCTAGAGACTAGGAATTAGAACTGTGGCTACACTTTTTCATCAAGCCTTTGAGATAGTACTGAACTCCTTAGGCTTTGTATACTTTTATTGATAAAATTTTAAAAATTAGAAAAAAAGGAATTGGTTAAGAGATGCAAGGCAAACAAAGAATATTGATATTTATATGGGTGAAGGTAATGTAGGTTTAAAAATACAAAGTATAATAAAGCAGAATGTTAGCTAATAACAGGTAAAATTAATACCCCCTACCAAAAATGAAAAACAACAACTTAATGATTTTGATCCTGTGTGTATCAAAAAGCATACTACGTTTTAAAATTATTGTCTTTTATTTCAATAGTTTTTGGGGTACAGGCGGTTTTTGATTGCATATATAAGTCCTTTAATGGTGATTTTTGAAATTTTTGCACAACCATCACTCGAGCAGTGTGCACTGCACTCAATGTGTAGTCTGTTCTCTCTCATCCTCCTCCTAACTTCCCCGTACTGAGTTCCCGAATTTCATTGTATTACTCTTAAGCCTTTGCATCCTCATAGCTTAGCTCCCATTTACAAGTGAGAACATAGGATATTTGGTTTTCCATTCCTAAATTACATCACTTAGAATAATGCCCTCCAGCTCCATCCAAGTTGCTGCAAATTACATTATTTCATTCCTTTTTTTATGGCTGAGTAGTATTCCATGGTGTATGTACCACATTTTTTTATCCACTCATTGGTCAATGGACACTTTAGGTTGGTTCCATATCTTTGCAGTTGCAAATTGTGCTGCTATAAACGTGTGTATATGTGTCTTTTTCATATAATGACTTCTTTTCCTTTGGGTAGATACTCAGTAGTGAGATTGCTGGATTAAATGGTAGATCTACTTTTATATCCTTAAGAAATCTCCATGCTATTTTCCATAGTGGTTGTACTAACTTACATTTCCACCAGCAATGTAAAAGCATCCCCTTTTCACTATATCTACACCAACATCTATTGTTTTTTGACTTTTTAATAATGGCCACTCTTGCAGGAGTAAGGTGGAGTCTCATAGTGGTTTTAATTTTTACATTTCTCTGATGATTAGTGATGTTGAGCATTTTTTCATATGTTTATTGGCTGTTTGTATATCTTTTTTTGAGAAATGTCTATTCATGTCCTTTGCCCACTTTATGATGAGGTTATTTATTTTCTTCTTGCTGATTTGTCTGAGTTCCTTGTAGATTTTGGCCCCTACTCCTTTGTCAGATGCATAGTTTGCAAATATTTTCTCCAACTCTGTGGGTTGTCTGTTTACTCTGCTGATCATTTATTTTGCTGTGCAGAAGCTTTTTAGTTTTATTAGGTCCCACTTATTTATTTATTTGTTACATTCGCTTTTGGGATCGTAGTCATGAATTCTTTATCTAAACCAATGTCCAGAACATTTTTCCGATGTTATCTTCTAGAATTTTTATGATTTTAGGTCTTAGATTTAAGTCTTTGACTCACCTGATATTGTTAGGCTTTGTTTTCCAACCAAAATCTCATCTTGAATTGTAATCCCTGTAATCCTCATGTGTTGAGGGTGGGACCTGGTGATTGGATCATGGAGGCAGTTACCATCATGCTGTTCTCATGATAGTGAGTGAGTGCTTGTGAAATCTGATGGTTTTATAAGCAACTGGCATTTCCCCTGCTTGCTCTTCTCCTTCATGCCACCTTGTGAAGAAGGTGCCTCCTTCCCCTTCATCTTCCACAATGATTGTAAGTTTTCTGGGGCCTCACCAGCCATGCTGAACCGTGATTCAATTAAACGTCTTTCCCTTATGCATTACCCAGTCTCGAGTAGTTCTTTATAGCAGTGTGAAAATGGACTAATACACCATCTTGAGTTTATTTTTGGATAGAATGAGAGATGGGGAACCAGATTCATTCTTCTATGTGTGGCTTGCCAGTTTTCCCAGTACCACTTATTGAATAGGGTGTCTATTCCCCAATTTATGTTTTTGTATGCTTTGCTGGCTGTAAGTTTTTGGCTTTATTTCTGGATTCTCTATTCTGTTCCACTGGTCTATGTGCCTATTTTTATACCACTACTATGCTGTTTTGGTAAGTATAGCCTTGTAGTGTAATTGGAAGTCAGGTAATGACTTCAGATTTGGATGCCTTCAGATTTGTTCTTTTGATTTAGTATTGCTTTGGCTATGTGAGTTCTTTTTTGGTTCTATATAACTTTTAGGGTTGTTTTTCTAGTTCTGTGAAGAATGATGCTGGCATTTTGATGGGAATTGCCTTGTATCTGTAGATTGCTTTGGGCAGTATAATCTCATTTTCACCATATTGATTCTCTCATCCATGAACATGGGATGTTATTCCATTTGTTTATACGACATCTGCGATTTTTTTAAAGAAGTGTTTAATAGTTTTCTTTGCAGAGATGTTTTACCTCCTTGGTTAAATATATTCCTGGGTATTTTATATTTTTGGAGCTGTTGTAAAAAAGATTGAGTTCTTGGTTTGATTCTCAGCTTGGTTGTTGATGGTGTATAGCAGTATAGCACTTTTTTTTTTTTTTTTTTTTTGATACATGAGAAGAACTTCAACCACAAAAGTAAAAAGAAGAGTGGAAGAAAGAGTAGTGCCTCCTTAAACTATTGCTGATCCTAGATTTTTTAAGGGATGAGATTTGGTTCCACATTTGGTGGCACATCACAGTATGTCAGGAAAAAATTTTCTTATCCAACTTGTGGCATGTTTTTCTGGTAAGTTGAGCTTTAAATAATGCATAGTCTTGATAAAGGATTGCCACACTGTTTTACAGGCACAAAGAATCTTTTTTCTTTCTTTTTTTTTAACTGAAAGGAGTAGACCTTTCACTTAAAAACCAACTCTTTTAATAGGAAAGTTTTGGGCTTCCTTTAACAAAACTATTTTATTGAAGTGATGAATTTCCCTTCTGTACTTTCAGAGCAAATTTGTTTGTTTTCCTTTAAATAGAAAAAAATGCACCTTTCACGGCCCTCAACAACATTGACCTTTGACATTAATATAATATTTTAGAAATGTATTTTATCCCATTTCTTCTCTTCTGCATTCCACTTGATTGCTCTACTATTACATTTTACAATGCTGAACAATAAATGCAGTTCAGCTTTATATATCTGTAGACTAAATAAACTGAGAGATAAAACAGAGATGTAAAACCTAACAATCTTTAAGTATAGAACAGGGCAAAAAGTCTTTCTCTAGTAAAGCAATTAAAGACTTGATGGGATAGATGTTAGAAGAAGTTAGAATATTTCTTTATAATATTCTACATACATTATTTCATTTGATAGATATAACAGTCCTCGTTTTAGAGATGACAACTCTGTGTGTCAAAGAGGCTAAGTGATTTCCAAAATATTGCGGCTTCAGAGTAGCCTACACAGCTGTGTTACAGTCAAAAATCAAGTACACGAGAAGAGTCTCAGAAATGAAAATTACTATCCAAGCTACATTGTGACTAATCGTAATAAAATAGGAATTAAGAGGGAAAAATAAACTTTACAAATATTAAGTGCAATAAAAGATAGTGCCTGGCATATAGTAAGGGTACAAATGTTTGCTAAATGTATTTATATGAAGCAAATTAAAGTTATGCAATACCTTATTTTTGTCTGATATGATTAGTTCTAATTTGTAACTTTTTAAGGACATTGAGACATTTGTGATATTTATAGTAATTAAAATAACAAAACTTGTACCATCTAAATATTTAACATTCTGAGGAGCTGACTAGAGGTTGAAATGTTTTGTGAAAAATTCCAAAATATTTTCTAGAAAAAAATTAATTGATATTGAGTCTTCGAGTTTATTGAGTTGAGGAAAACATAATACCAAGAAAGTATATGCTTTATAATCACATTTCTGTTTAAAAACAGAACTTAAAAATATACACACCAACATATTAATAAGTTGTGCTTATGTTTTTGGTTTTGGTTCGTAGATTATTGTAACATCTTTTTTGTTCCTTTTGGTTACCAATACTTTTACTATGACAAGCACATGTTATCTAAAAATTACCTGTTAATTTTTTAAAAAAGTGATGGAAAGATGTGGAATTTGAAACTCAATCCTTAAGTTCAGGTTAAATATGTTTCACTAGTTAGCCAGGCATTGTGCTAAACTCTTTACAATAGTATCTCACCTGTTATTCACTTCAACCCATGAGGTAGGTATTACTTGTTTTCATTTTATAGAGAAACAGAAAAACTAAGGTACTCTCTCTCATATTTGAAAGCTTAATTTTAATGAACTGATATAGCAATATTTTTCCAAGCAGGCAAGTTTAAACAACAATACTGTTAACAAGCTGAAAAGAAACACCGAGAGAGAGAGAAGGAGTGGAGAGAGTAGGGGGAGATCAGTTCCTTCATTATACTGCCTTTTTTTTTTTTTGAAGTTAAGTAATTGATACATATTAATACAAATGTTTAATTTAAAATTTC